GTGGGCGCCCCCGTTCGTCTCGAGGCCGAGTTTTGGGCGCGTTTTAGGAAAGGGGCTTAGGGGTGCGCGGAGGGTCGCAGAGGGACCTCCACTTCTGCCTCCTCGAACCTCCTGGGCCCGGCGTCCGCAACTACCTCGACTGTCCTGGGGACCCCAGTGCCGTGGGCTCCTAGGGCCCCTTCAGTGACAGCCCCCATCTCCTCCCACCTGCATTTCTGCGACCTCGGAGGTCGAGGGCAAATGGGGAAGTGGCAGAAGGAGTGTGGCGTTTGCTCGGGACGCGCCCCCCACCTCCGGTTTTCTTATCTGCGAGGTGAGACTGGGCTGGGGCGAGACTCCTCAGTGGCCCGGACTCTAGGCTGTTTCGCCCCCTGGGTCCCGCCCCGAGGGCGGTCCGGGTTCATGACTGGGGTCACCCACGGGGGTGGGGGCTCTCGAGAGGGGATGTCAGGCCTGAGACCGGTCCAGGCTTGTCCCCGAAGAGCGTCTTCCCACGCCGGGTTTTAACTTATTGGGGCCATAGGGCCACTCCATGCGGGGCCACTCCGCCGATGGCCGCCCCAGGACGGCCTGAGGTGAAACCCACCAGCAGCTTCGTCACCCCGCGCCGCCCCAGACTCCTGGACGAGGGCCTGTGGGCGGCTGGTCCAGTGTGGTTCCCAGGGTCCGGTGGAGAGCGGAAGGGAAGCCAGCCCGGGGTGAGAATTCAGGTCCCGCCCTCTGGGAGTCCCATGTCCCCTCTGGAGAGTACGCCCGCTCAGCAGAGTATGTTCAAAGGAGTTTGAGAAGAACAGGCACAACTCCGATGTGGCCGTTCCCATCGCTCTCGGCGTTCTTCTTATCACAGTGTCATTTCTTTGGCTCCAAGCTCTGCAAAGCACAGAGCTGAAGTTCTGCAGAAAGCTGGCCTGGGGGTGCCGCTCTCACCGGCTCTCACCCGAGGACCCGGAACCACGGTGATGGGGACTAAGATGACCGCACTCTGCTGGGGGGGGGGGGGGGGGGGACCCTCTCATTCAAGGATAAGATCTCCCCTGTGGCCTCATGCCTTAGGTAGTAGCGAGCTGGGCCATCCTGACTGTCCTGGCAGGCCAGGCACCAGAGAGGAGGACAAAAATCACACAGATTAGAGTCAGTTCACATTCTCCAGGAAAAAAAAAATCAAATCATGGTAGTAGAAGGAACAGTTTCATACTCAAACCATGCAGTAGGATTGATGAGCTAGATAAATCAGTAGGTATGTCCAGATGCAGGGCCGACCGCTTGCTAATGACTGTGCTTGGCCAGGTAGAGGGACTGCAGGAATGAGGCCTTTGTCTACCTTAGAGAAGTGGCCTTCAGAGAGGAGCCCTGAACTTCCATGCCCTGGGAGGGGTCAAACCTACATCAACGCAGCATGGCTGCTTGTCTGCTCTGCACTGCTTACTGCCACTGAGCGGCTCTGCTCAGTAACGCATCCTATGCCCTGACCTGAGCGTTGGACTCATCCAGACCTCGCTGCTTGAAAGCAGACATGGGGGACGTGGTGCAGCTCAGTTCAAGGACGTGCCCTGCAGTGGAGTGTACACTGTCCCCAAAGACACTGAATCAGAGAAGGAGTCCTTTATAGATGTTCTGATCACTGGGTGGAAAGTAGATTTGTCTGGAAATGTTTGCTTTGATTAGAACATATAAACCACAAAGTGGAAGGGGGCATTATTTGCTTTATGAAGGGTTCTTCACTTCATGGCAGTGCTGTGGGATGTGGTCAGTGGGCCCATGTTTACAGTGACCCAGCAATTTCATAACAGCAGGCTTGCCTGCCTCCCTGAAGGAGACATATGAGTGAGTGGCTCTCTGGAGTGGGGACGTTTTGAAAGGTGACCTTTAAGGAGGTCCTGCAAGGGGTGTGGTTGTTTTATATCCATCACCTCACTAGGAAGGGCCTGCTCTGCTCCCCCCACCTGCCCAGTGATCTGTCCCAAACAGCAGAGGCCTCATGGTAGCATAACTAAGGATGGCAAATGGAAGAGGGGTCTAGGTATGTGAGAAATACAGACAATAATAAATGTATTAATGATGGCTGTGGCCAAAGAGAACATTCGTTTCCTGGGAGAAGGATCCCAGAAACATCTGAACCAATGGACGGAGATGCAGTTGAATCATCTGCAGTTGGGTGGGTGGGGACACCTGGGGACACACTACAGGGTTGGTGACCTCCCATGAGCCACACTCACTCTGAGTTATTCTCCCATGAGTGTGGGTGAGTGTGAGAGTTGTGAGTGTGAGTACGTGTAGGAGTACATGTGTGTGAATATGAGTATGCAAGTAAATGTGTGAATGTCTATGTGTGTGTTGAGTGCGTGACTGTGTATGTATGTCAGTGTGTGTTTCAGTAAGTGTGTGAATGTGTGTTGTGTAAATGAATGTGAGTGTGTGAATGTGTGTTGAGTGTGAGATGCTGTGAATGTGTGACTGTATGTCAGTGTGTGTAAATATGAACTGAGTATGAGTGAATGTGAGTGTGTGTGTGTGAGTGTGTGAATGTGAGTGTGTGTGTGTGTGTGTGTGTGTGTGTGTTGGGCAGCACGAAGATGGGTGAAGCAGATAAGATTTTTCAAATTGAAGATCAAGAGTCAAGTAAGATAAATATCTTCAGTTATAAAGCAGCTCATTGGGTAAATCTGATATAATTTACAGAAGTTTGTTCCACACATTTCAGAAGCACATCTATTAAATTAACTGAAATGTCCCAGATTGCCATTTACTCCTGAATATCAAACATTTGGGGGAGAAAGAGAAAATGCATTCTTTTTTTAAAATCCTCACCTGAGTTTTTCCATTGATCTTTAGAGAAAGAGTGGAAAGAAGGGAAGATGGGAGGAGGGAGAGAGAGAAACATGGATGTGAGAGAGACACATTGACTGGTTGCCTCCTGCATGATCCCCCACCAGGACCAGGAATGGAACCTGGAACTGAGGTATGTGCCCTTGACCGGGAATTGAACCTGCTTTAGCCACTGAGAAAAGTGGCTAGGGTGAAAATACATTCTTAACATCATTTGATAGAGAGGTAACTGCCCTCCGAAGGCTATAAAAGGTCACACTTTCTATGTCTGCCCTGGTAGTTGAGAAAGAAACAGTTGCTCATTGCTAAGCAGTGTGCACATATGGACAGACTTTTATTAATTAACATTTCTTCTTCCTATCATGGGATTTAGAAATGTTTTTCTGTAGCTTTTATTTAGTTTCACAGTAGATGGAGTTAGTATATCATTTTATTTTTTGCCAGTAAAAGTTGCCTATTTAATCCTGGATATTTTAAAGACATTTATTAATGTCTCAATCTTAAACATAAAATTTATTTTCTGGTTTATAAGAGGCCTCTCCCCAGCTTTACTGAGGTATATTTGATAAAATAGCTTGTAAACTGTTCAACATGATGACTTGATACATGTGTACACTGTGGAGTGATCACCACCATCAAGTTAGTTAACACCTTCCCCACTTACAGGAAACCTTCTCCCTTTTGTGGTGAGAATGCTTAAGATCTTAGCAACTTTGAAGTATACAACATCCTATAATTAACTATAGACACAATGCCCTACTTAGATCCTCAGAATTTACCTTATAACAGTTTGTGCCCTTTGACTAACATAGCCCCACTTTCCCCACCTTCAGCCCCTGGTGACCATCATTCTATTCTTTGTTTCTATGAGTTGGACTTTTTTTCCCTTTTATTTTTAAACTAGAGGCCCGGTGCATGAAATTTGTGCACTTGGGGGGTGAGGGGAGGTCCCTCAGCCTGGACTGTGCCCTCTTGCAGTCCCAGAACCCTCAGGGGATGTCTGCCTAAGCCAGCAGTTGGACATCCTTAGTGCTGCCGCGGAGGCGGGAGGGGCTCCTGCCACTGCCGCTGCGCTCGCCAGCAGTGAGCCTGGCTTCTGGCTGAGTGGTGCTCCCCCTGTGGGAGCACACTGAGAACCAGGGGGCAGCTCCTGCGTTGAGCATCTGCCCCCTGGTGGTCAGTGCATGCCATAGCGACTGGTTGTTTCACCATTTTTGGTCGATTTGCATATTAGCCTTTTATTATGTAGGATTTAGATTTTACATATAATTGATACCATACAGTATTTGTCTTCCTGTATGTGTCTTTTTCACTTAGCATAATGTCCTCCAGATCACCCATGTTGTTGCACATGGCAAAATTTCTTTCTTTTTTAATGGCTGTATAATAATCCATTATAGCTCTATCATCTCTATCTTTATTTATATCTATACTAGAGGCCTGGTGCACGGATTCATGTGGGGGTGGAGGGGGTCCCTCAGCCTGGCCTGCGCCCTCTCACAATCCAGGACCCCTCGGGGGATGTAGCAGTGTACCAAGTGGCAGGCAGCCAGGGAGGAGCCTGAGCCGGGGCCGGGCACCACACCACTTGGGCTCATCCCAGCCTGCTGTGCCTGCCGCTGCCACTCAGTAGCACTGCTGGGGTGCTGAAAGAGGCTCCTGACACTGCGGCAGTTGCTCTTGCCAGCTGTGAGCCTGCCTTCTGGCTGAATGGCGTTCCCCCTGTGGGAGCGCACTGACTACCAGGGGGCAGCTCCTGCGTTGAGTGTCTGCTCCCCTGGTGGTCAGTGTGCCTCATAGCACCTGGTTGACCAGTTGTTCCTGTGGTTCCGGTCATTCGGTTGTAATGGTAGCTTAGGCTTTTATATATATAGATCTACCACAATTTCTTTACTCATTCATCCATCAGTGGACACGTAGGTTGTTTCTGTGTCTTGACTATTGTGGATAATGATGCAACAAACATGGGGATGCCGATATCACTTCGTGATCCTGATTTCATTTCCTTCAGATAAATACCCAGAGGTGGGATTTGTGGATCATATGATAGTTCTATTTTTAATTTGTTTGAGGAATCGCCACACCGTTTTGCATAAACAGCTGTACTGAATAATATGATTTAAAAAAATTAAGAGTCTACATACAGCACTTTCATTTAATATTATCAACAAAACTTTTAAATCTTAGGAGGTAACTCCCACAGCATTTGAAATAAGTTCCCAAGGTCATTAGTTATTAAATAGCATATAGGAGATGACCAACCATTTGAAGGCCACATGCATAGAACTAAGGCAACAGACCAAGGTAAATTCAGAAGTACCTGGTAAAAGCAATGTCATCCCATTTGTGGGGACACAGCAAGAGCAGAGCTAAATGCTTGTTTGCATGTGGTGGGGGGGGGGGACACAGCAAGAGCAGAGCTAAATGCTTGTTTGCATGGGGAGGGGGGGGGGGCCAGAAGAGGGCTAGGAGAGGATATAAGCAGCACTCAACACATAGACGTAAGAATGAGTGAAAATGCAATGACAGGGGAATACAATTACTCCTTAGGTCTTTTATGTGGCATCTAACTTATCAAATTTTTTTCTAGTTGGTTTAACCACTTTTTTTTTGTAGTGCTGATATATTCCTTTATTAAATGAGGCCAATTTCGTATGATGTTATGAAAAGAAAATTTCAAATGCTAATATTTTCTGCAGGGTGTAGACCCTTGTATTCACTTTTTGGTCGATTTCTTTAGACTTTGAACTTTTGAAAGGCAAGTAATTAGTCTTTTACACAAGGGAAGATGCTAGATGAGGCAGATAAATGAAGAGTTGCTAATTGACATATATCCCAGTATACTTTAATCCCAACCCTTGCTTTCAAAAGTAACACCATATATTTTCGAAATATTAGACTATGCCTACAGGTATAAAGTTAAGTTGATAAAGTCACACACTTATATTTATTTAAAAAATCAAAAATCAAAATTTGCTTTGCTTGAATTTTCTGCCTTATTGGCTTTATTTGTTCTTTCATTTTGCTTATACTGTTTCCTTTTTTTAAAAATCAGATTTTGGCTGGAAAACTTCAATATGGAATGTGTAATATAAAATGTATAGAATATAAATTGCACAATATATGGGCATTTTTTGGATGTTTGCATGCTTGTGTTTAAGAACTGAACTCTCAAAAAAATTTGGCATATTTGGGCGATTGCTCTAAAAATCAGTGTTGCTCCCTCCAGTTCTCAGGCCCTGTGCTGGGTTTCTCTGCAGGTCATCTACGCTGTCACCTGCTCACTGTGCTAACTACACCCATATGAGGCCAGGCGAACACACGGTTCAAAATCCTTGTTTCTTGCTGAGAACTGTCGTTATAACTCATATTGAATTAGTTGGAATTGTTTTCCAACAGTCACGTGGAGCCTGGGCTGTACAAAGTCATGGTAAACACAAACATACTACTACTCACATTCCATGGCCAACACGTTTTGGTCATATCAATGCAGGGAGATAATTTGACTCCTATTATTTTGTGACAATGCACCAATTTCCAGGAGAATTACAATAATATCACAGTGTAGTTTTTACAAAATCCCACCAGATCTGAGGTGTGCTTGTGCTGGGCACCAGCCAGTGCATTTCCTGAAGCCACCGTAGTTGATCCTGTGCTTGGACCACAGCAGCTCTCAGTGGCCACGCATTTATTACTTTTAGGGAGTCGATGCTAATCAACTGTCTCCATAAGCAGTTTCAAGGTGAGCTGGGATGACTGATTCATCCCACCTGGAGGAGCCAGCGAGAGCATTGTTGTGGCCGCTGGCCTGTCTCCCTCTCATGGACTGTCCGTCTATCCTGCCTGCTGGCTTATCTGCCTGTCCTGACTGCTGGCCTGCCCCTGTTCTGTCTGCTGGCCTGTCCACCTGTCCTGAGTGACACCAGCTGTGCTCTTAGCTCTTGAACATGCCTGCCTCTGGGAGAATCCTCGGAAAGGCTGCAGTCAGGGGTTTTGGGGGGTGCACTGAGGCACGATGACTTCTGGAGGTTTCTTCTGGCTGAGGAGAGGACTGACTGCAGGAGGACAGAGTCGCAGGCACGGGGTCTGCGTCCTCTGCCCTTGGGACAGTGAAGCTGCGTGGCGGGGACAGAGTGTCCGCAGGGCACATCATAAAGCCCATCTGACAGCTGAGTCAGCGAGGCTGGACTCCTCTTCACATACGCTCACAGCATGCTTTCTTTGTGGGAGGGGGGGCTTATTAATATTCTGAAAGGAAGATGCTGTTTATTCATAGGAGAACTTTGCTTTCTGTGAAGTACATCCTGAAAAATTTGGTTGCCCTGAGTAATATTTAAACACAAGTAGGTTTTCCAGTGTTTGTGACACCCTTGGAAGCCGCCCTGGCCTCCTGCCCCTCGGAACCCCATGGATATGGGTACCAAGAATGGGCAGCTGCGTGGTTTGAACACAAAGTATTTGTTTATATGTGGATAATCGAACAAACCTGATTTCTTCTACATCTCACGTTCTTTCGAGATCAAGCATTTCGTCTTGGTGATTGTGAGGTGACTGACAGAGTGAATGCATCACTTTTGGTTTTATCAAAAAAGGATTGCTGTGCAAGGCCGCACTTGACACAAGATGTCACCTGATGAGAAAGCTGTGGTCAGAGACATTTGAAAATCCTACAGTTTGTTCTCATGTGACATGTTTCTAAAACTTCCCATTTTTGTCAGTTTGTGCATCATTCAGAAAGAAGCCATCTTTGAGAAGAATGCTGGTCTTCCAGGGTTGGGGTCATCAGGGCTGCTGGAGTCCTTGCCCAGCCCTGGGCTTTCCTCCCAGAGCTCATCTCTGCAGGCGAGAATTCCCGGGCAGGTCTGGAGTGAGAGGCGGAGACCAGGCTGCAGGCCGGCAGAGCCAGCGTCCTGAGGGGCCCATGCCAGGTTGGCCCCACTGGTCCCACTCCTGACCCCTGGCAGCCGAGGTTCTGCCTGGGGCTCCCAGTCTGGTGGCATCACCACGAACCTTCTTCCTTCAGGCATAGAATGAGGGCATTTTGGAGGGGCAGGTGCAAGCTCGAGGCTTTTCAGCATGAAGACCCCGTGCAAGCCTTGCGGGAGTGACGTTTAAGGAAACTCGCATTTGTGCACAGTTGACTATGCCCATGGCTAGTTCACAGCCATGGTTAACTACATGCAATTGATGTGACTATATTACATAATGTTATGAATATGGTGGGTTGATCATTATATGCCAAGTCACTCGATGCAGACTCCCGAGATGTCGAGGGCAAGGCCCATTATTCTGAAAGACCCGGAGGGGTTTCTGTCCCTGTTCCAGTTGGTGCTGGCCCGAGGTGCCCTGACCCCCAGGGGCAGGCGAAGGCACTGCTTCCTTCCGGCTGTCCCTGGGCTGGTTGCAAATACCCACCAGGAGCCTTCCTCTGGGTCCCTACTGTCCTGCGCTCCGCTCCGAGGCCCAGGCCTAGACCGCTCTCTGCAAGGTCAGCTCATACCGACAGACGGAGGACGACTCAGACTCAGACATTTGCCCTGGCTTCCCAGGAGGGCTTGATACCACGTGAGAACATTTAGGGCAAAACCAGGGCGTATTTTCCACTGCACTATGTGGGAACTTCGAGAATGGGATTTTCTTAAATACAAGGACCAAGGCAAAGGCGTGTTTTTAGTGTTAAGGACTGGCAAGCGTGTCTCCTTTGGAAGGTGCTGTGTTTGAGGGGGAGGGACGCTGTGGTGGATGAAGCTGCTTTCTCAGGTTATTGCTTAGCAAAAGCACAATGAAGTGATGGCAAACCCATTGATGATGAGACGGTCCATCCCTGCCCCTCATCCTGCGCACCTGCCCCCGGCCCCCCTGCGCACCTGCCCCCTGTGCACCTGCCTTTGTTCGGCATGTGCAGCTGAGAGAATGATGGCGGCTGAAGTCGGTAGTGTTTGGTTCCATAATTCAACCTCAGAAGGCAAGGGAGAGAAGCAGGGTTTTTATAGGTGGGACCGAGTTTAGTGTTTTTCCTATAAAATAATTTCTGCAAATTTAGCTTCAGGGTCTGTTCTCTTTCTGATATAAGAGACTGGATCCAGGATTCGTTTGCTTTGGGGCATCCATAAATACACACTCCTTATGACCACCCTCGGGTCTGTACCCTGTCTGCCCACCCCGGACCTGAGGAGGTACCGAGGAGTTTGGTGGGAAACAGGATTTGCGGAGGGGGAAGCCATGAACTGAAGTTCGTGCTGAGTAGGAAGGAGGTTTCATTGAGGAAATTCCATACATTTAAGGATTATTGGATATAACAAAAACTCACAGATACAGTATGAAGTTAGAGACAATACGTTTGTTTTCTTTTATTTCTATTCCTATGTTGGAAAGAAATGGTCAACAGGGAGAACAATGAATAATTCTGGCATCCAACTCATACAAAAGTAATTTTACTCTCTCAAGACAAATATAGAAAACGAATGAGAAGAAAACAAAACGCAAGGAGTATTTAGACTTAATAATTCAGATGGCTCCGATGATTACGTTTCTATTACTGCTTTAATCTGGAATTTGAATGCCAGTATTTTCACATGGTCAGTTTTGTGCGGGTCCCCTCACTGTTTGGAGACTAATATTCGCACACAAGTTGTTTAGGTACATGCAGGTGCCACCTCTAACGCCCGTGCTGGTCTTGTCCCACACAGACATGCATTTCTGTCTGTCCATGGCGAGGTGTGACTGCAGCCGTGTCCTTTTCACCAAGACAAGAGATTAATGACAAATGCTCACCCTTCAGGTCCCTGGGGACATTGTTCTGGGCTTTGCTTCAATTCTAGTCGTTAAAAAAAAAAATCCTCACAGCAATGTTATTAATGTGATGAAAAGAAATACTTGTTAATAACTAGATAATTTTAAGAACTTGGGTTCGTCCGTCTGTAATCTCAGTGTGATTAAGGAGGAAGGTCTAACGTCCATTATTCCTAACGACAAGACCAAGCAGGCTTAACGCATTAGTGGCAGCGGCTTCGGAGAGGCGCGGGAAGGCTATCGGCCATTTGAGCCACAGTTGAGGAATTGGCCTGACCGCCACACAACAAAAGTGATACAAAAGAATTAAACCCTCACTAAAGTCTATTTCCTCGTATAATCACACAAAATGATTTTTCTTAAATATGATAATAAATCACAGCAAAAAATCAATGTGGCAGGGCCCAACTGCTATGGCCTGATAACGCATCAATCAATATTTAGTATTTAGATTTTAATTAATACATAGCCGTGCAGAGGCTTTTTAAGGGAGAAATATTATCTCAGATAAAAAATCCGGCACCCTTAGCATGCAAAAGTTGTTGCTCATATCTGTCACTGATCAGTCCGCTAGCGTTGTGATTAAAAACCCTTGAAAATATCAGACAAGAGGGTGAAACAGATTGAACCAGGAGAAAGTCGTCGGTCGTCGGTGTCCCTGCTGGGAAGCCGCCAGCTCGGAGCAGGCAGCACAGAGCCGCCCGGAGCATGTGGGTCAGACTTGGAATGAAGTCTAGGGAGCTCCTGACAGTGTGGACCGGGCTCTTTGCTGCTAAGCCAAATCAGGAATTTCAAAGGGGCGTGTCTAAGGAGACCATCACTTCCCTAGTCTTCATTCATGTGGTTTTGGAGGAAGGATTTCTCTTGATGAGGAAGCGTTTAAAAATAATTTTAGCGTTGGGGGACCCATGTTGATTTTGGTCACACTTTTCATTTCCCACACGTCCATTGGTGGCTGAGTGACACGGGCTGTTACAATGGACTCTCTGCAGAGACAAATAGAGGTCTTCCTTTCAAACCCCTGGAGGGACCACCCGGTTCCTACATCCTGTTCACAACTCTAACCCCTCCCCCCTGGCACCCACTTTTCATCAAGGAGAAGGCTTTTCTAGATGTTGCAGCCCCTGCAAAGCTCAGAGACGAGCAGGGAAGACGGAGAGAATGTGAGACGCAAGAACGTGTCTGTGGGGAGGACCCAGTGGGCTGTTCACATTTTTATCTGAAGCCAGTTCCATCACCGGGTCTTTCCTCTCTGTCCTCTGCTTGCGTTCCATCTGCTATTCCCTGGCCCCTCACAGGGAGAGTGACGTGAGCCTGTCAGCTGGATCTTCTGTAGTACAGACCTCCCACCCAGTGAACCTGCGTTGGCAGGTGGTGTCCCGCAGGCGACCTCGGTGGGTCCCAGGGAAGCCCGCTCCTTGTCTGGGGCTGGCTTTCCTCTTTCCCGTATTTCCTGTTACCTGTGGTTTTTTCGTTGAACTTGGTGCCAATCAAAGTCAAGTGAGGTCCCTGTGAGGGATGCTTAGCGGCGTCTGTGATAACCACTTCAATAGGCTGTTGTGTTGGAGAAAGAGGGTACATCAAGGCACTTGGGGTCACCAGGGGTTACAACCTGTGGTCTCTGTGACAGCTAAGCACTGGTTTCTTTAAAAATATATTTTTATTGATTTCAGAGAGGAAGGGAGAGGGAGAGAGAGAGAGAAACATCAATGATGAGGATCATTGATCGCTGCCTCCTGCACGCCCCCCCACTGGGGATCAAGCCAACAACCTGGGCACGTGCCCTTGACTGGAATCGAACCTGGGACCCTTCAGAGCAGGCCAACACTCTGGCCACTGAGCCAAACCAGCTGGGGCGAAGCACCAGTTTCTTGCATCAGGATGTTAGTTGAGGATTTTAGCAAAATGGGGCTGGGAGGCTGAGACTGTGCCTGAGCTCCTCGGCCTGGGACAGTCTCTCCAGGCTGTGGCTGGTGTTGGGGGTGCAGATTCAACAAAGAGGTGCCCAGTGAACAAATGGACACGAGCAAAAGTGCTCAGGGGCTTCCTCAGCCCTGCAGAGACGGGGTAGCTTGCTGTGTGTCCAGGTTGTTTCTGATCGTTGGCTCTCATCTGGGGAACTGAGGGACCCTATGTTGTGGTCAATGGCCATGGGGAGTGACAATGAATTAGATTTCCTGAGGCCAGAAGTTCATGGGCCTATTGCCTGGTGGGGAGTCACGAGGGAAATTGTGGGTTCACAGAGAGCTGGCAGAGTTCCAGGCAGAAAGCTGTCCCCAGACGGGTCCCTGAGGGAGCAGCTCTCACACCAGGCTTCACAGGCACCGAGAAAAGCTGGGTCACCGAGGAGTCAGGGAAGTGACCAGCTTTCACTTATTAGAACCAAATGGCATCAAAGGCGAAAAACACCCCAACTTTTACCTAATACCCCACCTCTTAGAATTTATCCTAAGAAAATAATCAGATAAACATAGATATTTATGTCTCAAGGGGTTCGGAGCAGTGAAGCCACAAGCACCACCCTCACCTGAACGTAGCGCCTGAACCTGTGACCAGGGACCCGCTCACGGGTGACGCGTTTCCAGGCATGGAAGGAAGGACGACCCTCAGAAGGGCCTTTCAGGACACGTGATCGCGAGTCTGTTAAAAATGCAAGCGTGGGAATTTTTCACCTAAGTGTTTTCTGGATTTGCTTGTGTCCTTGGCCTGGCAGATATTGTGTGGACAAGCTTGTGACATGCTCTGAAACCACATGGCGGGTCCCGGACTGTGTGGAGGGAGAGGATGAAGACGGGAATAAAAAGTGGTCAAGGGAAAATTAGGGGAGTTTGACTCGAGCCTTCAATGTGTCCAGGGAGAATTTTTTTCTTTTCTTTAAAAAGAGGCGAGAAAGGAGATTGCAGCTGGAGAGACGGCTAACAAGACCGAAGAGCCCGTCAAGCCTTCCAGACAGGCCCGAGTGCGGAGGGAGCGCCTCGATCTGTCTTCATCTGGGAACGCAGGGCATGGTTTCTGGTCCGGAGGCCGCGTTGCCGAGAGCGCGTCTGTGTGTGGGTTTCTCTGCCGAAGCCCAGGATCTGAGATAGGAAATCGAACCTTTGAGGAGGTTCGTGCCTACACTCAGGCTGGAGTCAGAGACGGAGGGAGGGGAAGGAGGAGGACACACCGCACAGCCGACAGTGAGGCTGACAGTTGTGAGGCTGGGCCCTGATGGCCACAGGGGTTTCACCCTCTTCATCTGTTTTGATGCCCGTTGGAGCCTTTCCATGATGTTTATTTTCTGAAGGTCACCCGTTGCCCATGGGACAGAGCTGCCATCAAAGCCTTTGCTGGCCCCTGGGTCCCCACCGGCCCATTCATTCCTCCACACGCGCATGTGCGTTTGGCCCCAGGTGTGCTCCTTGGGACGGACACGTTTGGAAAATTCATTGTCTCTGCTTGTGTTCCCGCATGCCTGCGGCTCCTGCCCGGCCTCAGCGACTGGCTCCGGGTGCATCGGGTCAGAGAACAGTGAGAGGTTTCAGGTCCAGTCGCTGAACCTGGACTCTATACCGGGCCGCTGCATAGGTTCACGTTAACCCCAGTAATACCGAAAGGCGAGCTTCGCTACCAAGTTCACACGGGAAGATAGACTGAGAGGGTCCCTACTGACCAGGAGTGGCTGTTGAGGGAGGCGGAGCCAGACAAGCACCGAGCTCCTGGCCCCAGGACCTTGCCACCTTCTCTGGCCCTTGGCTGCCTCCCTGGGATGGACCACCAGCGCTGGAGCCCATCATGATTCCCACAGATGTCGGGCTCACCCGGCCAAATCCCAGCACAGAGCCTAATGGCATGAGGGGCCGCCAAGTTGGGGCGAACGGCATATCCAAGCTCAGTCCTTTCATGCGAGGCATTGGGGCCGCAGCCAGGGCCTGCAAACGTGCATGTACATTCACAGGTGGAATTTACCCCATTAACTGCACCTGTCCTCCGCGCTGCCGGCCGCCGTCCCATGATTTCTGCGGCTGGCTGGGGCGTGCTCATTTGCTCTCTGATTCCTCCTTCATTTCTCTGATGGTCGATGGAAACCATTAGTTCATTTGCAACGTTGGACGGATGTCAGTTGCTTAACAAGGGTCACGAGTTTTGATGGGAGAGTTGGGCTAATGGTGGCAATGCCAGCGATGTCTCAGCTGTCTTTGCAGATAACACAGACATTCCGTCTCTCACTGGGGCACCCGGTGGGCTCAGTCAGGTTAATAGGGATTGTACTCTAAGCTCAATGGAATGCTTATTTCTGTGTTGGTGAATTGTATGTAAAGAGCTGCTATGCAATCGATACTTTTTCATAATTTGGTCTATTGGGAATATGTACACTGAATGTTTATCTGTCTACCTAGGTGGAAAATTGTCTTTTAGTGAGAAGAACGCATGGTTTGTTGGGGTGCATGTATCTGTGTATGTGGGTGTATACGTATGCATGTGTATATGCATGTCTACATGTGCTATGTACATATATGCATGTGCTTGTGTGCATGTGGGTGTGTTTGCCTTGGCACAGAGAGGAAGAAAACCAACATCTGCGAGAACCTGTGGTGTTCCAGGCATTTTATATACATTGTTTTTAAAATTCTTGAAAAAATAACCTGAGGTCTGCAATACTGTCCTTTGATATTACTATTTCTGTTGCTCTTGTTATTTTGCAGACAAGACAGTTACGCTCCCTTAGATCATGCCCTTTGTCTAAGGCTGCATGGCTGATGGGGGCAGAGCTGGGGTACTGGCGAGCCCACACCTTCCATTCCACACCCCGTTTCCACAGCCCACCCACCACACCGAGTGCCACTCTGCTCTCCCACAGTTATGTGCTTGCACACCCATGTGCCCTATCCGCATGTTCCCCGTGCACCCCACAGCCTGCATCCGGGTGTGAAGTCTGCCCCCTTGTGAATACCCGCACCTGGCCCGTCTCAGCCCTATGTGACCTCCCAGGCACACACATTCACACCCAGGTATAGAGAGTTCCAGAGCAGGCAGGTATGTGTTCATTCCCCAGATAATCAGAGGCCCCGATAAAATAAAGCTTCAGTTGACGGACACCCGGCAGACAGGGCTGTTAGTTTACGTAGGGCCCAGGCAGAGTCGGCTGGAAAATTTTGATCACTTTAATTTACTATATCCAGCGTGCCTGCTGTACTCGGCAGGCACTTTTATCAAGCCCTGTGCGGCGGTATTGATTTTTTTATTTTCTATGTAGGATAAGAAGACAGAGAGTTAGGAGCAAGAGTGAATGAAGAACTTTCCTCAGATTGCTGCTTCTCTGGGCTTATTGCTTCCTGTCGTTTGTGGTTTCAGATGACGTCTGGTGTGTCAGGGTTGCTTGAAGCAATAAACGGGGTGAATAACAATGGAAGGGCCAGATGAGAAAGATTGAAAAAGGAGAGAGAGGCAGCAAAGAAAGTGAGGAAGTGCATGTGAGAAATGGAAAAAACGCCGAGGTTGAGGAAAAAGTGTCTTTGGTGTAGGTGACCCATCAGCACATTCCTTAAAGTTCACACACCGCGCAACAGTCCCAGCAAAGAGCAGGGAGTCAAGGCCTTTGTCTTATTATTTTTCTGAAATGAACAAAAGAATGCCTCCCGCCCCTCCGCCCTAAATGCTGGACCACAAAGCATAGGCCATCTCGCAAGAACCCAAGGCCTGACCAAGCCCAGCTCCCCCTGTAAGAGGACACGGGTTGCTCTCTGGGGTGTGTAGGTTGCAGCCTGGCACTTTCCATGGCTGCACCCCCTCGGGAGGTGGGCCCGCCTGGAGCCGTCCCAGGGCAGGAGACTGCAGCCTGGCACCACACACCCTGGATGAGGTGCTGCCCACACGCCCGTTCAATGCATGTGCCACCCAAGCACTAGGTTTAATTTCAGGCTATGAAATGTATATTACACCAGGGAGTAGTATTTGTATGCTACTAGTGGATGCACACACACACACATACACACACGCACACATGTGCACACACATGCCCATGCCCATGCCAATACATGCGCACATACACACAGTCTTTGGGGAGCCTGGCATTTAGAACTTGCTCATTTCCCAGCTCTACATGTTCAGGTCTTTGGCTGTCGGCATGCCTCACTTTTTTGTGCCTCGGCGTCCATACACATGGAGAGAGGACTGCAGTGGTACCACATGTGCACAATGTCACAGTAGGTGTTGCAGGGTGACCGTCCCAGGGCAGGCGACTGGGAAGTATTTGTTGCATCAATGAATCAGCGAATGGAGAGGAATGGAGTGTAAGCATGATTTGTGAAATTCTAATGTAAAATTCCCTTAAAAAAACGGTTCTGGTAAGCTACAAAGTTGAATCAGAAGTGGTATAAATTAAACCTTAAATTAGGACTAATGTTAAAAAATCAGGGCCACTGTTGACTACCAAATATAGATAGATGTCACAGGCATTGTTTTAAAAAACATCTGAACCTTAAAACCTGATGATGTAATTTGTTGCTTTTGGGTGTTTTTACACTTGATCTTAGCCAAAAAAGCTAAAAAGTGATGCTTTTATAAAACAAAACAAAACATTTCTTTAAAGCTCTGTTTCCCCAGTTACTAGTAAAATCAATGAAAGGGATCTGTTAGTGCCCAAGTAATTCCTGTGAGTTCTCACAGAAGGTGTATGGGTAGGGATGTACACAGGCCTCATTTGATTAAAGTTTCCTTTAAATGAAGTAAATGTAAGAGTTTAAAAATGTTGTTTGCCAATGCTATCAATTTATTTTGCAAAGAGATTGATGCCTTATCATCCAGTGAAATAAAGGCCAGTGACCCCGTCCCCAGTTCTATTGAAAATCCTTAATACGATGGGCAGAAGGGGCAACTTTCTCAGCAAGTTGTGGCCTCAGATATTTACTTTCTGAACACTTTCAGCTTAGTTTCATGGATCCAAGCAGCCCAGGTGAAACTGGTTCATTTAACCCCACAACACACTTCAAGGGTGCTGGTGGACTCTGTCCCCGGAGACATGTGACGGCAGCAGAGACGACCATCTGTCCTGCATTGTTTCTGCTGAATTGCGTGTGGTGGTTGGACCCTTGGCCTCTTGGTTCCTCCTGCTCCGGCTCCATCATGCAGCCCTCTGTCCATTTGTCCAGCTTTTCTCATCCAGGCGGGGCCCTGAGATGGGTTTCTCCCCAGCAGAGGCACAGAACACAAGCTGACTGTTAGGATTGTGCTTTTATTTTTAATTTAAAAACTAGAGGCCATGGCTGAAAGTGATGTCACAATAGAAAAGCAAAGGGACTTTGGAAAATGACCGTGTGCCTGGCCTCATTTACTAGTACTAGTGGGCTGTGTCTCAGAGAAGACAGCAGGGGCTTGGAGGTGACTTGGGACACACGCACTGACTTTGTCTCACACTCCAAGGGAACTGATGGGATCATCTTTAAAGGTGGAGGAGGTCCTCCTGCCCCTGCACTTCTGGGGGATGTGGACGTATTATTTATCATGACTTTAAAAGGCTATTGTTACAGTTTAAATAAATTGCTCTATTATAATATATGGGTGGCCTTATAAAAGATAGGTTAAGTTTGAGCGAAAAGTGCCACTATTTGGGCAAGTCATTATGTAACCTTCAGAAAACTGGAGACTCAAAAATGTTTTAAGGTGGGCTACCTTCCTGGTGCAATTGTTTATAAATCCATTTTTTAAAAGCAGAAAAGCCTTATTATGTGAACATATTTCTTTCCTGTCCTGCAAACTCCCAGCCTGTTGGGTGAGTCACTGGAGACTGAATGGAGAAAGTGAGGTCTGTGAGCTGAGATGAAGAATCCCCTGGGCAGGAATCACAGGTGAGTTCTAGTCCAATTCCAGCCACAACTGCCCTCCTCTTCCCTACCTGATGAGCACAGCATGCTGCTCCACCTGTTGGAAAGGTGGTGTCAGAGGAGCTGAAGTGTGCAAAGAAGTTTTGAAAACGTCAAAGAGCCATACATATACAACTTTCCCCCTTTGTTTCCTTTTCTTTTTGACTCTAGTGATGGAAATTCAGTGTTTTCACTTATTAATTGGCCCTGAGTAAGATGTACAATCATACATTTTCCCCCCCAAGAAGATTAATACATAGCTGTGGATTCCAGGACCATTAACATGCTCTTTGAAAATCTGACCCCTTGCGACGGACAGATGTTCTCAGAAAATAACAATGAAAATATTAACAATGATGACAATAAATGCCGAAATAGAAATAAGCACTTTACAATTATAGCTGAGCATTGACTATGGGCAGAGGAAGGAAGACTTTTGTAAAAAAAAAAAAGAAAGAAAGGAAGAAAGAAAGAAAAAGGTATTTCTTTTCATTGAAAATACAGACCTGAACATTTACCTTTTATGAGCAAGAGGGTAAAAACAAAACAAAACAAAACTGAAAATGGAGTAAATGGTTTCAGTTTACCCAGGTTATTTCTAAACAGTAATACAAAGATGTAATAGAAATAATTTAGACATATGGATAAGAACCTTCAAAATCAATAGTGCTGGAAGAAATGAAACATATGCTGATGCAATCAAACAGAATTGAATTTCATACAAATGTTAGCAAATCTATATCAGATTATCACAGCAAAAACTTCATTTTCATTGATTTATAATGTATTATTATTGTTTCCACCAAACTGCCACAGACACCATTCAGCAGCTGCTGAGTGCCTTAAGGGTAAATAAGGGGGATCGGAGACGCGCTGGGCAGAGACGGTTAGGAGCCAATAACTCACTGCGGCAGGTGCGACTCTTAACGATTCTTTGCTTGTTCCTTTGAATTGCATTAGATCATTCTCTGAGACTTTTGGTGAGCAGGGGCTGTTCCTTTGGTATTCACACGTGAATGAAGAAAAAGGTTTTGCATGTAGACATTTAGCAGAAATGTGGCTCGACAAGCCCATACGCATGTCTATATCCTCCTCTCTCTACCTTCCTCTTCCCCTCTCTAAATCTGTCTCTATCTCCATCTCTATGCCCATCTCCGTCTTCCTCTCTGTCTCCATCTGGTCCATTTCCATCTCCATCTCTATATAACTAAAGTGAAAATATTCTTCAAACCACCATTGTTTTCAGGAGACTGACTCCCTGGTGACCACCATTTGACAAGATGCCTGTAAATCACATTTTCCAAGTGGCCAATTCCCTGTGGGGGCGAAAGGGCTCCTTCTCCCAGTCCCTGCATATGGCATATTGGGAATCAGGGACCCTTTCCCAGCAGCATCTGCAGTGAGAGCCTGCGTTTTGGAGAAGGGATTATGTGAATAGTTACTTCAGCAAAATCCACGCACCTTTTTCAAGAACAGAAGTGGAATTAACAATAACAATGAGCCCAATGAGCCAGGTGAGGTCTGTAGCTTATGTCTGTAAGAAAGTTGTGCTAGAGTGCCTTAAAATGGCATTGTATTCCACAATCTTTGAGTTAGTTATCAGCTCAAGTTCCACCTAAAGCAAAACACCAGGTCATTTCATTCTCTTCTCCAGTGATGCAATGGACGACAGGAGGGTTGTTTTGCTGAATGCTGTTAATTATTCATAACAATTTGCTCATTATTTCTCATGCACTGTGGGGAGTGATAGAGCAGAACTTTGGGGGAACAGGTAAGTTCCAGCCATGACAGGCACTGAGGCCGCAGCCCTGCCCATTCCTGCCTCTGGTCCTGGTGACAACGTGCAGGAGGCTGTGCAGTCCTGGTGGCTGGGGCCTTCCAGCCCTGGAATCTCGCCCCTTTGGTGCTACTGCCCGGCTGTCCACGGCAGGGTTACATCTACTGCATTGATGTCAATGATGGTTCCCCCTGGCTCTCCCAGGCCTGGTCCAGGCCGCACTGAGTGGATAGGTGGCTTTGGGCCCGGGAAGGTGGTAGGTTTGGCATAAACTCTCCTGAAGGTACATCCTGGAGCTTCCTTCCAGGTGACCAGGGGCCTCTTCACAGTGGAGCCACCGATTGGAGGCTCACGACTTGTTCCTCCTCCCACTTCTGAATGAACATGAGTCAAGGACCAGGGAATGTGGCCATGTTCAGGCCTGGGACAGTTATGGGAACTGAGTCATGACAGACCGCCTTCCCCTCAGTGCCCTGCCTCAGGCCCCTCAACCACGTTCTCCCTGTCCACCTCAGGGAGATTCCGGACAAAATCTGTCCCCCTCTGTCTCGACCTGCTGTTCACTGCTGACAGTGAGAGTGCAGGTGGTCACCCACCTGCTGGTGCACCATTGGCAGAATTTCCCAACCTACAAAACTCATACTCTGGCAAGCCAACTTCCTCTTCTTACAGTTCTACCAAGAATCTATTTTGAGCACAGATTCTGCCCCATTGAGAAACTGTGATCTCAGTCAGCTCCTGGAAGTGAGTCATTTTAGATGCAATCGGGTCCAGGATTTCTCCACCTCCCTCCTTCCCGAGTCTGCAGATGTTAGGGAGCGGTAGTTCAGACATTGTCCCTTCTGGTGGACCTTGCTGAGCTGTCCCTGTGCCCGTCCATCCATCCATCCATCCATCCATCCATCCATCCATCTATTCATTGTTCATTCATTCATTCATTCATTCATTCTCTCATAAAACCTTCATAGAATAACTACTGTGTTTCAGGCATGAAGTGGTGATTAGAAGCACAAGGCCTGCACGGTTCAGAGGTCACCGTCTGGTCAGCATGCAGTAAAGGAGGCAGGTACACACGTGCAATAACTCCATGTGCCAAGTGTGGTGACAGTGAGGACATGGAATTCCAGACTCGTAGGTGGACTTCTGGACTCAGTAGGAGGGAGCAGGCTCATAGGGTTCCTGGCTTGTGCACGGCCCCAGTGGAGCTGGGAAGACCAGCACAGGCCTGAGACACCATGCGGAGGGTGGAAGTGAGAGAACATCCCAAGCCCAAGTGACCCAGGAGCAGTGGCCTCAGGGCAGCAGCAGGCCTTGGTGGGATGCTGGGTTCCAGGCAGGGAGTGCACTGGAGGAGGGCAGAGAGGTGGGGACCCAGGCCTGCACTGAGTTCTACCCTGGGTTTACCCTGAGGGCCTGAGGGACCTAAGAGAGAGCTATGGGCCCGACTGGTGTTTGATTTTTGGGGGGCTGTGAATAGATTAGATCCAGACAAGAATAGTGTGGGGAGTTTAGTTAGGAGGCCACCTGACAATGTAATTGAGAGACCACAAAGGCCTGGAGGGATGGAGAGGAGGACCAAATGAAGGGGAATTAGGAGTTAGAACTGACATGACACCATCACCAAGTGATGTTGGGAGGGGGCCAGGGTCAGGGTATTCACAGGAATGACTCCAGAGTCTTAGCTCGATGTCCCTGCATTGTGGGGATGTGTTCAAATTTCCATGGGGAAGGGCATCAAGGCAGGTGTTCGAGTAAGTGCAGACGGAGACCTGAAGACTGTCAATCAGTGGGTGGTGCTGAGTGGAGTCAGAGTAGATGCCGGAAGACAGTTGGCAGATGCTTAAATGTAGTGGTTCCCACCTTAGGATGAATGAGGAGTGTTAACGAAGGGCATGGGAGCTGGGAGGGGGTCAGGACAAGGAGAGTCGGGACCCATGTCCACAGCCACAGTGTCAGATGTCGGGGGAATGGCTGAGGGCTGTAAATGTGTAGGTGGGTGGTTGCATTTAATACGATTGTGAACAAAAATCTTAAAACCCCACCCACCTTCACTGCCCCTCAGTTGCGCGCGTGTGTGTGTCTGTGTGCGTGTGCGCATGAGCACCTTTTATGAATTTAGGTGCATACATGTGTTCTATGCTCACCCCACTTAGCCTGGTTTTTGAAAAGTTTGTAATAAACAGAGTGATTGGTGAAAGAGTTACAGTTTAACCGGAATCATTAATTAACCAGGATCCGTCATTAATGGGGCAGAATCTGTAGCAGTTTTCAATTATCATAATTAAACTAAATTAACTTGAGAATTCCTTGGCCTAAAAGTGGTCTAGCTTCTGTGGACCTCTGACTGCTGTAGTCAGAATCAGAGCATAACATTGTGTGGAAAACTAACTTTCACAGTGGGCATTACAATTGGTCCTCAAAATAGCATCACAGTTTAGGCTGTGTGACATCACAGTTTAGGCTGTGTGATATCACAGTTTAGGCTGCATGACATCACAGTTTAGGCCATGTGACATCATATACATGGTTTTAGAAAGTGCAGACTAGAAGTTATCTTCTCTGGATTGAGGTTACAATCAACAGAACTAAGTAAATAGCATTTTTGAAATCACCTCATAGATATCTGACCCAGTGAATTGAGTTTACAATTCTTTCCATTGACAGGGAATCTAATTTGGTGGAGGGTTTGCAGGTGTGGGGGAGAATATATGG